CTTTGAAGCTAGCAGCATAGCACCCTCACCCAATTTGAACCTATCTATTTTCTTCTTCCCACCCTTGTAGCTGAAGTGTCTTGAGTAAAAAATTCTTCACAATATCAGGCTCACCGTTCATTAGAAAAGCCAGGGCACTCGGTACAAAATCTCTAACAAAAACCTGATCGTAATTCAAGACTTCTTCAGAAGCATGATCGTAAGCAGCGATTGTGCCGACCGGTTGACCACGGAAGTAGACCAAGGAGCGTCGAAGCGCCTCCCACGCATCTGCAACAATCGGATGAGGCTCGAAAGAATCATCAGCTGCTGATGATCTGGTGGGGCTGTCCAATGGTGAGTATATACTCTCGTAAGTATCTAAACCTCTGATTAAACCGATTGATAACTCGCTGAGTGACCTATCGTCGAATGATATTTTCCGCTCTATGTTTAATCTTGGCTTGCCGATTAGCTTTGAGAGATCATAGTCGTTGATTGAGCTAACATTTGTAAGTCCAAGAATATCTTTTGCAACGTCAGTTTCCTTCTTCTTACCATCCAAAACAACATTAACACCATCCATAATTTATGTTTGATTCCAAAACAAAGATCTTCTGAATCGCAGGGAAATTTTCATCATCAGACCACACAATTAGGCAAATAACATTATCATGCATGTGTACAAAAAGAGGATAAACACAAGCTTTTACCAAGTTTTAGAAAGCCAAAGTAAAGAAGCCTAGCTAACAACCATATGTAAAGAAGAAGAGAAATTAACAACCATACTAAGCTAAGTCTATAAATAAGCTTAATTACCTTACCCACATGCAGTGGAAGCTAAGTCTATAAATAAATTTTTTGGCTCTGATTTAGCCGAGCAATAACGACAGGTTTTGTCATCTATTTAATAATTAAGTCAGCAACTTACAACAGATTTCATGTGGGTGATGTGAGAAAAACTTGGGAAACGAAGAACGTAAAGCTAAGCTGATAATTTGAATGACTTGCATCACGTAAAAAGAGAGAGCAACCACGTGTATTGCAGAAGAGAACAGGAGGTACATACATTGAAATCCTATATAATAAGAAAAAGGAAACTAAGTCGTTGAATAATGGATGTATATATCTGAAGCAAACTAATAAATAGTTAATGCGAATAAGAATGCAGAAGAAGAAAATGAAATAGACAAGAATGCATGCAGAACAAGGCATGCAAGAGATTGTGCAATCAATGTAAGCCACAAAATTCAAAAGATGAAGGTTGAAAATAAACAAGAGAGGTACGCACGTATATCGTCAATTAATTATATAAAAGATGAAGAAACATGATGATGCATGTATACGTACGTATAATAGAATTAGAGGGCAAACCTTGAAGATGGTTGGATTTGTGAGACAGGAAATAATATATATAATTATATATACGGGGATGAGCCAAAAAGAGAAAAAAAAAAATTGTAAAGGAAGAAGACAGGAAAACATATATCGATCAATATATGATGATGATGATGAGCATGAATGCAT